CTCCTCCTCCTCCTCCTCCTCCTCCTCCTGTACCTCCGCCTGTCCCCCTCCACACCCTTCTCCCCCATATTCTCTTTCTTCTCCTCCTCCTCCTCGTCTCCTATTCCTCTTAGTCCTCCACCTCCTTCTCCTCCTTCTCCTCCCTCTATTCTTCCTTCTCATCATCATTACTGTAGACCATAATTGTATTTAGTAATATTAGATAGCATTTGTAGAGCGCAAATTCCAGCTCAAAAGCAAGCTCTATGCGCTTTACAATCTATATTATTACCCCAGCAGACCTGATAGCCTTCTGAAACAATCTCAACTTCTTGGGAAGCATACCGTGCAAGGTGCCATTTGATTGGCGCTAAAACACTAACATACAAGACCTACATTTACACTGTATCTCCAGAAACATGGAGACACGACGAGTTTTAACCAGATGAAAATACCTGTACTTTGCTTGAATTTCTTTTCACCAATATCTATCATTAAAAAGTAAAATACATGTATATCTGGTTACCAGATGAAAACAAATTATGGTGAACAAACTTACCCCGGAGTGAAAGCCCCACGGACCATCAACTTGATCAGATTAATTTTTTTGTCCAGATCGAGAACTTTTCTGTCCTGTGGAGCGTAAAAAAAAAGTTTTAGTAATAGTTGTACGGTACTGGCAAAACAATAAGGTCTTGTTGGTGCCAAAGGTTATTAGTGTTACAAGAGAGAGTAACAAATAAACAAACAAGCAAAAAAGAAAAAAGAAGAAAGATATACACGAATAATGTTTGATAGGAAGAAGGAGCGAACCACACCAGAGCACCCGCCAATCACCCACTCAGACTGTGCATCGTTTCTATTGCAGATTGTGTTTGTCTCGAGTTGTAGCTTGGCATATATACAGCTCAGCGCTGTATTGACCAAGTTCTTCAACCTCAAGGAGTGCCATTTTTCTAGAGTCATCTAAATCTCTTTTTCCAGTAAGACAACGCGAGACCTCATACTGCCCATGTAACACAGCAACAGTTCCTGGGCTATATCAACATCAATCTTTTGTCTCATCCGACTCGTCCACCCGCTGTTTTTCCTGCTGTTAACTGGTACGATCAGCAGGCAGACCCTTTCATGGATCCTGGAGAGGAGGGAGGAGCAGCTATGGCATTGTGCCGCCTGCAATGATGCATATTTTCCAAGCAAGTAAGTAGGTAAGACACGTTCACCCGACTTAAACCACAATCGAGCACGTTGGGGATGCTATCCAGAGGCAGCTCAACCAGCTACAACCATCACCATGGAAAGCTCCTCAACTGGCTTCAGTCATCGGCCATGTGTGGGTACAGATCCCAGTTAAACAAATCGACACTCCCGAGAACTCTATGGGTCGAAGATGCAGAGCAGTTACACCAGCCAACAGAGGTCACACAATGTACTGACTTTCTGCCCCAAGGTCAAGGTCACAGAAATAACATAGTGGGGCTATAACTACACTAAAGCATCCTTCTATTGACACTCTCAAGACGGTGCGAATTGGATGAATTAAATTTTCATGCACACATGACAAACCCCTGTTGAGTGTAATGCATTTTATTCATGCGTTAGTTATTCGTTTTTCTTTTGCCTCTGAGTATATCACGTTAAAAATTATTTTAATATAGTACGGTATCATAATACACATGATGTAAAAATTGTTATTATGTGGTATGGTATGGTAAAAATTCTTTTTATATGACATGGTGTGTACAAATCCCACTAAATTCCTACCTTAATAGGATCCGCAAGGATACCCCACCCGAATGCCCGTTGTGCGACTGCCAGGATGAAACAGTACCACACCACCTTTAACTGCCCTGCACTTTGCGACATGCGTAGCACCTACCTACCTGCCTTCCCAGACATCGGAAATACTCTATACAGCGACAAAGCACAGCTGATTAAAACCTGTAAATTCTTTGCCATATCGACAGACCGAAGGGCTAGGACCCAAATGGCCGCTGGATCGGAAAAGTAAAAGTAAGTAAGTTCGATATAGTGTGGTAAGTAAGACAGGGAATGGTAAGGAATGTTAGGGTATGCTGAGACTTCTTAAAGGTGTGTACACCAGTAGTACTAAACGTACACTCTTCCCCCCCTCTCTCTCTCTCCCCCTCTCTCTCCCTCTCTCTCTCTCCCTCTCACTCACTCACTCTCTCTCTCTCTCTCTCTCTCTCTCTCTCTCTCTCTCTCTCTCTCTCTCTTTCTCTCTCCCTATCTCTCGCCCCCATCCTTTTCCCCACCCCGGCAGTCTATTGGACCTACCAGTGCGACAGACTTGAGAGCCTGCTGAGACAAGAAGAAGGCCAACTCTCCGAGCGTCTGCGGAACGAAAGACAGAAAATCGTCAGCTTTAGTTTTAGTAACAGTTTTACGGCACTTGCAACCCAATTAGGTCATATAAGTGCCGAAGATTAGAAGTGTTGCAAGGGAGTAACAATTACAAAAAAGAAGGAGGAGAGATAAGGACAATAGATGTTTGGTAGGAAAGAAGGAGTAAACCACACAAAAGCACCCGCCAACCACCCACAATTCTTCAGCAAAGCTGGCTGCTGTTCAAGCCCAGCAAGCCAAATAATACTTTTTTTCACGAGGGAGAAAAACTGCGTCAGTGTTTTAGAAATTCTACCCGCATGATAATATATTATCGTTTCTTGCTTTTTCTTCTACATTTAAAATTTGACTTTCAGCAGAACATTTTTCGGGCAAACGTGACCGACACCACAGATTAAAAAACCCCCCACAACAACAACAACATTGAAATTTAGGGCATAGTACAACTGAATAGCTGACCGACGGAATGTAGTGTGTTGATACGTGCCTACATTTTCTGTCTGACAGTTCGCTACCTTAGAATTACAAAGTTCTGTCTGCTCAGTATCCAGTTTGGAGAAATTTGACGTCAACATTTTTGACTTACACAACATGTCAAGCTCTTCCTAATGTGATTCTTTGTTGAATATCTTGATAAAAACTTACGATTTTGAAGGAGCAGTGAGAACATTTGATTTCTGACCCCATGGACTAAGTAACCCAAAGCGGCCAAACATGTCAGATAGAACTTTGTAATTCTAAGGTCGCGAGTTAGCTCGTGAGTACGTTTGGCCATGGCGTCGATCTTTCTGTTAGTCAAAACACTTTGCGGTCACTTGGCGCAATTATGAGCCGGTGAAAATGATCCGTTCTGGTCACCTGGTGCAGTTCTGTGTCAGGTTCGAGAAGTCCGTAGCGGTCGCTCTCCTGGCTCGGTGACCAGATGGGGTATTTTGTACTGCTGGCTGTATGACTCTGCAAAGTGTTAAGTCTGTCGATCTATCTTGCTTTCAATACCCATTTGTCTGTTTATTTGACGAGCTCGTCTAGCCCTACATGTCCTTCGATGCTGGCTATAGTGGGATGTTGTTCATTTTTTTCGAAAATAGATGAGTTTATGATAAAGGGTTTAAAAACAAAAACAAAATAAATAAAAAACAAAACAAAACGATTGCATGCGTCCAGTTGCAGAGTACAGAACATGGTAAGTAACAGCGAGACTGCAGCAGGGAGCTCTTGTGGGCAATGACGAGCCAGAAAAGAATTTCGACAGATCTACAAAGTGATGAGGGCATGAGAACAGTATGAGTGTATCACATATCTAAAAAGAAAGAAGATCAGAAGATTTGTACATAACAAATATTATAAGGAATACCCCCCCCCCCCCAAAAAAAAAGAAGTAAAAAACAACAACAATCACTACAATGAACTATTATTGATTGATGCATAGATTTTGAATGATAAAGGTGGATAAATAAGTTAATGCGCAAAAAAAAAAAAAAAAAAAAAAAAGCAAAGTAAAGCAGATTTATTACTTTAACCCTAACCGTACGTCGTGTTTTACTATCGTATCCATACGACGCGGGGAACTCCGTAACACCGCTTTTCAAAGAGGAATTTACTCGCTAATCCGATCAGTACGTTTTGCATAGCAGTCTGTCAAAAAGATTTTTTGAGAAATACTGAAAGTTTCAAAGAGATCTTTGTACTAGAAGTATTCTAAAATGTGAAGAATACAACCCAGTACAAAATGACCCTAGGGCGTACGGATAGGGTTAAGAAATAGAAATAGAGAAATAAAACGGTGAATTAATTAACATAATAAATGATTAAAAAATGAATTAGTACTGAGAGTCGGACTCCTACCTCTTGTCCCCTGGCGAGTGTGGCCATAGACTTGTGTATAAACTCCACTAGATTTCCCTCAGGCTTAGGGATCTGGGAGATCTTCATCAGATCTTTCCCGAGCTGCCAACAGACAAAAGAAAATTAATGCCCCTAACTACTAACGTTATTAATTTAAAAGTGTAGATATTTCTATACCCTACCCCCCGCCCCCCAAAAAAAACCCCAACAACAACCAAACAAACCGCAATAATAAAGACAAAACAAAAAGAAACAAAACTAAACAACCCAAAAACCTCTCACCTTGTTTGCTGCAGCTGCGCTACTGCTGTCCTGAGAAGTAGACGTGTGTAGTGTAAATAAACAAGGGTAGACTAAACCCCTTTATAAACCAATATTGTCGTATATAAACTAATAAAAACCTTCTATTTCTGTAGGATGACATACTGATCTAGAGGCGTTTTTGTATTCGCTAAAGAGTATACTACTTTTTAAAAATATTTTGGGAATAAATATGATGAGGGAGGCCTATAATGGGTTTACAGCTTGGTATTGCGGAATAGACACGATTAGTAACAGTGGTAATTTCTGCTCACTCGTTTTGAGGAATAAAGAAGGATAACCAGCTAAAACTGGCAAATAAACGCTTCCACAATCTTTTAAATTCCCATATGTAATACATACTGGCGAAAAAACGAAGTAATTTATTATCGTTTACTACCCAGTCTCCGTGCGAAAGTATGCTTCAAAACACGCATCATACATAACGACGTAACATTCAGATGACGTGAACTTCGATTAGGATCCCCGCTCAACAGCAAGCTCTATGTGCGCTTCATAATCTGTACTATATATTACCCCAGCAGACCTGAGGGCATTCTGAAACAACATCAACTTCCTGGGAAGCATACAGTGCAAGCTGCAATTTATAGGCGCTGAAACACTAACATACTAACAAGATCTTTCGCTGCCTATGGCCGGGCACACATTCTCACCTGGGTGAAGTGAGGGAAAAAAGTGCCTTTCCCAAGGACACAACGTCGAGCCCGCGGCTCGAAGCCCCCAAACCCCCGAACCCGCAACCTCACGATTACGAATCCGGTAGCCAAACCACTTGGCCACCGACGCCACACAGTACACAGGGCGAGAGATGTATATACCAGCAGAGTCAAACCAGAGAGGGTTGGTTAAACAAACCACACGAAATATTATCTGTTGGTGATGACGAAGCTGGGGCACCCCCCGCAACCCCCC